AGAGTATTTCATGTGGTTACAAAAACCGACCTGTAAATCCTACACCAAATCCTGCTTGACTCAACACATGACAGACCCAATTTATGAATGGGACAAGACCCAGTGAATACATTTATCTTCCATTGAAGGCAAGAGGAAGCAAGAGCATTTAGCATTCAGCTCTCTCCTACTTATTCATCTATTTTTCTCAGATTTTCTAGAAAAGTTTAAGCTGATGATATATGGATGATATATGGAAGGTGAGAACTTCCTTTGCTGAAGCATGTTGGGGGTAAAGGAGCATCTACAGCTCCTGTAGCACGTTAGTCTGAACCGTGAAATTGTTGGCAATGGCAAGCTTCAATATTACGGGTTTTTTTGTTCAAACAGGAGGAAGTCAAATCCCCAGGTGCCCCCAAGCTCTTTAGAAGTAGGCAAAGGTGTTTGTGACCACCTATTTTTCCTTCTACACTCATGACTACACTAGTCCCAGAGACAAGTTAGAGCAGCCAAAAGAGTAGGCACAACCAAAGGAACTGGTATTTCCGTAGTAGAACTTCTACTGCTAACTGGCATAGGAATAATCTTTCCACATGCTGGTGTTCCTCACGTAACAAAGTGATCCCCAGGCACTGCTGTGAGAGACTTCAAAGATTGTTCTTGCAGTACTGCAGCAGCGAAAACTAGGAGGTGCTAAGAATCCACCCCACTCAGTGTAAACATTTTCAAGCTGAGGGTAGACCAACTGTCTATGTTATTGATATCCAGATCTGTTATGATCTTTGCCTCTCTCATGTGGGTGTTCATATACTCATGTAAGAGAGCCCACAAACAGTAACAGGAATAGACAAGTGCGTCAAGCAAACCTATAAAGCTACTATAGTGTAAAACTGCACCATGTCCTGTTAGTTTCTTTGAGAAATGTTGTTGACGGAAAACTTTTCATTTAAAAAGCTGAAAAAAAAGCTTTCACAAGTATGTATTATTTAATATCTCAAACATTTAACATGCTGAACTGAAACATCTCAGTGATGAGTTGGGGCGCTACTTCATCCACCAAGACTAGATTTTAAGGTTATGTATCTACATGGCAGAGAATTGCTGAGATCATAAAAGACAGACACCTAGCAGGAAACTTCATTCTTCATCCGCTTAGAGGTGTTAAGGATATCTTCATGGCCCACAGGAGAAGGCATGTGACTGAGAAGGCATGTCTTCATATGAGAGTGGGTTCCAGATATTTTCTTTGAGAAGCATGTACAGATTTAGGTCAGGAATTGGGCTCATAAATAAATGTTGTATGCAATGTGTAAAGTAGTGTTTAGTTCAGTTTAAGGGCTTGATCTTTCTCCTGATTAACTCAGTCTCACATTCTTGTACCAGCAGCCAACTTCTGTTAGCAACTTTTTTACTAACTATGTACTTCTAATGACCTCAACAGCTTTGATCAGTACACTGATCAGTACACTGATTATTTAAGCACTGAGTAACTGTGCTGTGCAGAGACCTGGGATTGAGGGGAGGTGAAAGGGTCCCTTATGAAGATGTCTTGTCTTTTCCTTCCTTGTCAAAATACTCACAATGCTCATATACCTCATGAAGGTTGCTGCTCTGGCAGTCTGTACAAATAAACAACTGAAGAGCCTGGGAGCCACAATTTCATCAGCAGGTTGCCCTGGTTGCTTTGCAGTTTAATTATCTTGCTAGTAAAAACATGGAAGTCAACAACCCAGCTGCCAAGAAACTTCGAAAGTCATACGGATGGAAAATGGCCAAGTTTAAGCCTGCTCATTTCCATTTGATCTTTGTTGGAACCAATACCCTCTCAGCAATTTTCCAAAGGGAAAATACCCCATCAGAAAGGTCAAAACTCTTTTCTCCTCATTGTTCAATGAGTCACACTACGCCCTATGTACAGTGCACTGTTCAAACTCATGTCCTCAACACCAATTAAATAATTTATTTGTGGGCATTTTTGTGGCATCCAGTGTTGTAGCATCAAAGTGCTTCAAAAAGACTCACAATTTTTTTTTCTTTGCAGCCTTCCTCTAATATGAAGATTATTTAACCCCGTATTACAAGCAGGAAAGTGAGGAATGGAGGCCTTGAGTTGCCTATGACCTGATTTCTAAGAGCATTTGGCATTTCATAAAACGTTATTTTTTCAAAGCCACATTTTTATTGCCTATATCTGGATTTGTGTGTACTCAGTACTTCTGCAAGTCAGACCCAGGTGTCTTTTAATAAGCATTTGAAAATGAGGAACTCAGAGGTGATGTCTCTTTCTGAAAGCTTAACCCCTTGAAGCCAGATCTGAAACAGGATTTCAGGCTCTGTAAGATGAGCATTACATGGGTGAAAGGATTAAGGCACCAGTGAAGATTTAGGTGTCTCAGAACTGGATCTGAAATAGTCAGCAAAATGATGAGGTACAGTGTGAAGTTGGCACTCTTCACATACCACATATGCAGGTCATCCAGAAGAAACTAAGGATGAGTCTTGGAAACATGAAAACTTGGAAAAAAATCTTCTTGGGTTTCACAGAACATCCTCTTTCTCATGGGAAAACTACTAGGAGACCTGAGCCTTGCACCTCTTTGTGTAGTTGCCTTTTATGAAGATTCCCCATTGCCTTTTCTTTCTGGGGACTGAATATGATTTGCTACAATATTTTAAGATAGTTGATAGAAGAGAAACACTTCCCTTCCCTGTTTAAATGATAGAGTAGTGGTTGAGGTCAGGAAATAGATGCCTCAAGCTGCCTCCCAAGTCTGGCCATGGGACTTATCTGAGCAGAAGATTGTTTTAACCACAAAGCTGCTGGGTACTGCCCCTATTTCACATCAAAGATGCGCAATAAAAAATTATAAATACGACAGCCCATGGAAAGATGAAAACACCATGCTGGAGGGCAAGAGATTCTCTAGCCTAGTGACAGGAGCAGTCATCAACTGTAAGGTAGCAGACATGGCCTAGTATCTACTCTTTAGATTGCCCTTTGGAGTTATCCAGTGACCACATAATGTGAAATAGTGTCTTTGAAGATGAGATTGGAGATGAGGTCTTTTGCCTTATAGCTGAACAATATTTCAGGCATCTGCTCCTCTTTTGTCCAGTGACCACTGCTCACTCTTCCAGCTTCAACTGGTCCAGTGCAAATCATCCCAGACTGTGGTAGCTAGCATACTAGCTAGCTAGCAAGGGAGGAAGATAAGGCTTTAAATGCTTTCCAAATAGAGTGTTGAACATGCATGTTCTTTCTCCTAAGCAGAGTGCTCTATAGGAGGGCTACACTTTCCTCCTTGATTGTGTTTGAAAAGAAAGCAGCTGTATTTCTAAAGAAGAAACCCCATCTTACTGATGTGCCTTAAGCATGCTCCTTACTGGCACTAGGCCAGCTCTCTCAGTCCTGTCAAAATCCAATTGCTCTATAATTGGAAATGGATATCTGCTCTATACTTGTCCTCAAGTATCTTAAGTACTGCTATCTTAAGTACTGCTATCTTGTGTTATCAGAAGCAACTAGTGGGGTATAATTCCCCAGTAGTCAGAGGCTGTATGAGAATTATCCCCATTTGGAGCTGAAGCTCTGAAGTTACACCCCAACACTTTTTCAGGCATTTTTCATTTATCTATTTCTTATGAAGATGCCTTTTTCTCAGCATCACACAAGACTTTCAGGCAGAATCAGTGGCAGAATTTCATTTCCCAGGACATGACTCAGTCACCAAAATCACAAGGCTACTTTGCCTGTTCCTGCAATCCTACCTCTGAGTCAGCATGTATCCTCCAGCAGCAAGTAGGTCACAGCTGATCAGAGAGACAGGCAGCAGTCTCCCTCTGAATGGGTTTTTGATTGATTTTTGTGCTTAATATTCTTCTGCAATATTTACACTTAGATGACTGAGGGCTCTATCACAGTCCACATGCACAAGGGAGCTGTTACTACACAAAGGGTATGTCAGTGTTAGTAAATTAAATGCTGCCAGAACATGGGCTCAGGCCATGAAATTCACTTCGTTGGGCTGTTAGAGTTCTGGCACAGTTTTGGTTCACACCAATTCATGCTCCCTCAATCAGCTCTGCACACCCCACAACCGTATGGTGTAGTTTAGGAGTTATCACAGACAAAGGACCGTTCCCAAAATGGAGTTTGGATGCAGCCATCACATTTCAGAGGCTGAGAACTGTTGTTGTTACAGATGTGTCAGATAAGCTAAAGACCAGGGTATGACTGCTCCAAGCAAACAGATGTGCAAAATTAGTTGGGTAAAAAAATGTATTTTCTGTCTAGACCACTAGAGGGTGCAGACAAACCTACTTTGCCTTGAAGATTTATTTTTAGGTTGCTGAGACTTGAATATTTCAGGTTTTTATCCAGGAAAGAGATGACAGGACCATGCATTTCTGTCCTTTACAAACGCATTTATGCCATCTGTGGCATGTAATCCGAAGTCTATCTTTTTCCCATTAACTGCTGTCCAAACACGGCCCTCTGTCCTTGTCTACCTCGATTTCATACTACTAATTTCCCTCTTCTCTTTTTTAATTTCCTTCACCATTTCTGTTCCTGTTTGTCCATGGTTTCCTACCCCCTGTGCTCCAGGAGGATTTCCTTTTTATCCCTGCACTGCCTGACTGTCAGAAGGCCAAGTAATAAAAGAACGACAGACTTATTCACCCAGCCTTCAGCTTCTGAACCACTGTAGCCCAGAAACAGGGTTTACTCAGTGTACCAGGATCCTGAGATAACAGGACTGAAACTGGGCACGATTTAGAGAGTGTCAAGGATCGATCAGAATTTTGAGAAGTTGTGGTAAAAAAAAAAAAAAAAAAAGGAAGAAAAAGGTTTTACAATATGATTCTTTTCTTTGTGTTTACTCACCCACTCAAAGCAGACACTTGTGTTCCTGAATATTCCCTTATTGCCTCGGCAATTGCCTCATACGGCTAAACTCTGTGTGTAACATCCTGACAAAGAAAATGCAAAACTTTTCATCTTAAATGTTAATCAGACTTACAGGCAGCTCCCTAAGGAATTTGTCTTGCTGTGGTGACCACTGATGTTTCCGTGCTGTAGCAGATCAGATTTCCTCCACGAGTAAGAGCTGCAGAAAGGACCAAAGAAAAAAATATTTTAAGAATCAGTTATTAAAAAAAAATGTGTAAAAGGAGCACATCTAAAGATAATGCCAAACAGTGACAAGTACTGATAACGCTGCCTGTCATAGCTTTAAAACACAGTTTACTAGTTGCAAAATGTACCTCTGCAGGATTACTAAAAATGCATAATATCCACATCTGAAGATTAAGAGAATATAAAGAGCACATACTTTTTTGGTGAATTGATATTTTCCGTTCTTATATTTGCAAATCTGAATCAGGTGCAGTGTATCTGGTAGTGAGTAACCCTAGCTTCATCATGACCATACCGGTGCATAATTTCTGCTGTTATTTCAAGACCTAATCAGCAGCTGGGAGACCAAAGATGGGAGAGTATATTGATTTTCAATTCACCAGCTACCGAGCCTGAATACCTCATGCAGTAGTGTGAAAATGTGAAAAAAATGTGCAGCCCTTGATGAACAAGCTTAGAGATGCCTTGCCCCAGCCTGAACAACACTTGGGCCCTCATCAATCTGTGCACAAAAAGGCAGAATGTCTCTGTTATTGTATCTATGAGAGCTAAAATCCAGCATTTTAAAAAAATAGAGCTGTAGCATGAATCGTATACAGATCTCTCTCTCTCTTTCTCTGTCTGAGTATTTAGCTTTAGTTAAATACTCAGCACTGAAAAATAAGGCTACCAATAGAAAATTTCAGTAAGGACGGAAGGCTTCTGGTCAAAAATGTATGAAAAGAGACCAGATCAAACTGACATTACTAGATTCAAAAGATGCAGAAAATTAACCTCGTGGGATATTTCTCATTAATTAGCACCTGAATTTAGACAAAAATTGGATTATATTAGCCATTTTAAACCTATTTTAAAATAACCACCCTAACTCTCAGGCTAAGTGTCCCTCTCAGGTTTCCTTCATACACCAAATTGACCTTCCCATTCAAGAGCTGGCAGTAATAGAAAACAAACCCAAACAACAGCCCGAAAGCCACTTATAAAATTAGCTCATTTCATCCAGGATTTTTTGAGGCAGTAGTCAAGGGCCAAACGCTCCCATTTCTGTAAAGTCACTTTTCAGAGGAGAGCTCCATTTTCAAGTGCATTTTGCACACTATGAAAAACGTTAGAACAGTGTCAATAAATATCGCTGATACGAAAAACATCCTTCTGTCCATTTGGACGGTTTGCAAACATTAATTGTCAGTGGTGAGGCCCCTTGGACTTCTTCAAAACAGCTATTTATCTGGAAACTATGCAAATGTGAGGTAGAGCTGTCAGGTGACAATACATGTGTAAAACATCACCACATCTTTTAAACACATTGGAAAATAGTGCTGGTGTCTCTTCATTTCTGAGCAGGACAGAGGGAGCCCACCACAGGATAACTTCTTGAGGCTGGGTTGTGGGCTTCTGGGTTTCTCCTCTGTAGCCACTTGACCAGAACGCAGCCGTTACTGGGGGAGACCACATTTACCATACAAGGAATAACTTTTCTAGGGTTTGTTTCTTTGCCATCCTATTATACTGCTACATAGAACGTATGCCTCCCTCCGACAGATCTAAGGACTACACTCTTTTCCCACAGCAACCAAAGATACTCATGCTGAAAGAGAGCACTGAGAACAAACATTTTAAGTCACCAAAGTGGGCCTTTTCTGTGCTTACAGTCACTAGTGAGAGCAAAATTGTCTGCACAGACAGATGCACCTGAGCTGAACCCCAACCTCCCCTGAAAGACAGAAGGTGAATACACATTTTCAATAAATGTACGCTAAAAACTGAAGGCAGAAGCAGTGGGTAAGCTGTTGTTTGGCAACAGGGAGGCCTGGGTTCAATTGCTCTTCCCATGTAAAGCTGGTGAGAACTTTCCCTTGAGCTGTGCCTATGCAGTAACCGGGAAATGTGACTGCAGGATGGGTTTGCACACCTCAGCCGGCTTTCATCTTGCAAGCTGTAGCACAGGCTACAAGTATTTAGCAGCTAAGGCCATACAGAGCTGTAAGGAACAGCAAATTGCTTAGCGTCAATAGTCAAACTGAGAAGACTAAGGCTGATGCAAGTGCTTCTACCTGTGCTGTAGCCTCTCCCTTAGCAGAACTGTGACATGCTCTGTGGCGACATGCTCTATGGTTGTGTCCAAACTGACGTACTGCCGTTTGCAAGGGAAGACCTCGGATTCTTTATCAGATCACCTGTGCTGGGGAGCTGTGAAAACCAGGGCAGAAGTCTGGCGCCAACTGGGATTCATCTGAGTTCCCCATCTGTAGATGAGTGACAAAACTTCTGTGGCTCATAGAGTCTTTTAAGAGTGAAATTCATTAGAGAGGTCCAAGAGCTACCATAGTAGCAATCTCAGAAGTAGGGTGGAGGTGATTTAGGAATGAAGCCCAAACATGGATGAGATTTACGTCTCTGGATCAAACTAATGCTTTTGGAAACCCTAGCTGGATTCTGCCGACCACTATGTATAAAATCTGGAAAGTGTTTATACCAAACACTGAGCACAGTCAAGGAGCCAATGTCCAAACATTAAAACTGATTACAAGCAAAGACTTAAAAAAAAGCAAATGCCAAAGACCTGAATCTCTAGTGTGTGATTTCACCCAGGGATCCTCACGGCACGTACAATTTCACTTATTGTAGGGCAACCTGGTGACAGCACACTATTACAATAACTGCCGTACAGATGGCTATTTTATGCTTGTTTCTGAACTATTAAAAAAACCTTCTTGCAAGTAGTCTGTCTCCCTGTCTATTAAGAGACAACAAATACAGTATGCAAGAGTGCACTGTGTTACGAGACTTCCTTCTGGTGCCTGTCTGTCTGAGTTCAGTTTTTATGCATCAAAAGACCCTGATGAAATTATATCATTTTGTGATATGGTTCCACAGTCACTTCTGCGTGTATGTTCGGTTGCTGTAAACCTCAGGAACAGTCTCAGGATGACTACAATATGTGACTCTGCAATAGCTAAAGATAGATATCAGGTCCAGATCTACAAATAAAACTGGTCCAAAATTATCTGGTTTGTTTTTTTTTTTTTTTTTCCTCCCAATACGTAGAAGCTCATTCTTCCTCCTTTTAAAAATACCCTTGAAGACACGCTATGATTTTTACTATTCTCCTTACTAAAGCAAACTGTACACCTTAAAACCCCTTACTTTGATAGTGGTTTGTGCGGAGTGGACCCCTTAAAACTGGAGGTAGGAGATTTCTTTCTCTTTTACAGCAGTATTTGCTGTGATAATTCTGACTTCTGACTATGTGTAACATCACTTCATTATCATTGCTCTATTATTAACCCATACAGTTCTTCATTTATGAAGCTCACACTCATCGGGCACAAAGACACACATGCAGTTCTTGGATTGCAATGAACTTTGTTCTCCCTTCAGATGTAAATAATAGGAGGGAGAACAAATCAGTCTTGACTGAGTCTGACTCCACTGAAAAACAATTTTGAATAAAGAATCAAGAAGTGAAAAGCTGTACTCCTTACCTGGTCTGGGATGTACAGTGCACCTTGAAAGCGTCTTAAATGACAGAGAAGAATTAGAAATAGTTGAAAGTTTGTACTCATCCAACCACAGGGCTCAGGAAATGACCGTGTATTTTGCAACGATTAACTCCTTCCTCACTTCTAATGTCTTCGCTTTTTCAAGTACAGCAAAAAAAGTCCATCATACCCTTCCACTGCAGTTTGGTAGCTGATGCCGTGCCCTACACATGATTTCTGTTGCACACTGAGAATATGCAGGTGGGCAGAAGAGATGACTCTGATCACCTCCATGGAAGAGAGAATTGGCAGCATCTTCTGCATAACTGTGACCAAGTACATTTTACTGTTGAATGAAGGTTATGTGATGAAGTGTAGAAATGACTAAGTAATGGCTCAGTGCTTGACTCTCATTTTTAGAAGAAGCTTAGAGAAATATTCTCAACATGACTTCAGTGTTGCGGTGCCCAACAGAGCAAGGAAAAAAAAGTTATTTAAAGGAGCAGTGTCCCTTTCAATCTGGACATGCATTTGATGTACATATGGTCTACAATACTTACTTTTATGCACATGGGGTGTCTAGGTGAAAGCTGAGGATCCTGGAACATCAGGAGATAGGTCTTCTGTACATAAAAAAATTTCTGCCCCTAAAAGCCTGTTTCCCTTGGCTGAATGTACCCATTTGACTGCAAGGCATTTCTGAGCTTGAGCCCTACGTAAAACCATTAGCCTGAAAGCTAGTAGAGGCCAGTTCCATACAAAAGCACAGGCTGCTTTTGGGGAGCAGGCATCTCAGTGCTGAACCCAAGGAGGCACCCAGGCTCTCTGCGTGCAGGTGCAGGGGCAATCAGCACCCCAAAGTGGTTTTGCTGCACCAAGACAGCAGGCTGAGAATAAAAAACTTCAAAAAAATCCAGACTGCAGCACTAAAGACAGACCTGCGTTTTGCACCCCTCTCCATTTTTTTCTGTTTTAGAAAACAAGCCCTGGACATATATACATACATGTCCTTTCCACATCTTTGAAGTCTCTTTACCTAGGCACGTGTGTGCTCTATTTTAAAAACCTTGTGGGGGAGAGAAGTGTCACTCCCTGCTTTTGGGATGTTGGTAGAGGAAGAGAGAATAGAAATGTCACCAACATGCACTTTTATACAACAGCTCAGGCACCCAGCCATGATGGTTTGGGCTTAGTCTTCTCTTTGAGAAGAGGTGCATCCCTGTTCTGGGCATAAAGCATGTCAAAAGTCCACAGAAACTATAAGAGGTAGAGATCTAGTCCATTCTTCTCAGCAAATCTGAGCTGACACAGCAGGACTTGATGTGTCATTGAGCCTATGCTCCACAGACTTTTGCATGGGAGAGGCTTTTTATGAACTACGTAAACAACTTTAGTAACAAGGACCAGAGCTCAGCATTGTCCACCTCTTGGTGGATGGAGGGTTTCAGAAAGTTTTCTTCATAGATTATTACTACTTACAAGACTTGGTCACTCTGATCTGGATTCCTCTCAGGAGACTGGTGCAGCTTCACCAAAAGGACTGGAAAGGGTACCCATCCCATCTGTGTGCTTCTGGGATTATCCCAGAAAGTGGGACTAGAAAGCCTAAACCCGTCCAGACTGAAGGGTCTTCCACAGCCTGGGCCAGCATTCTGGACTACTGCACTGAGGGTGGCCGGGATTGCCTTTCCCCAAAGCCACCCTGCCTCTTGTGGTGAGCACTGCTACACCCGTCTTCGGCAGGGTTCAGGTTCCTCCGGGCACGGAGACACAACGGAGTGCTTCCTCCCGCCCCCAGATGACAACAGATCTGGTACCTCAACCCACAGCAAAAAGAGCTTCTGGGCCTGTGGAGACACCTCGTGTTTGGGTTATCTGAGACAGGGGTGGGGTCATCTCACCTAGCTCTGGGCATTTGCACTGCAGGTGTCTACACCAGACTTAATCATTCAAGGCACTCTTGAATACAGGCAATGCAGAGAAACAGACCTTTACATGATTCTTTATCTGGGAGTTTTAATAGCCAAAACATCTGGGTGATTCCTCAAGCCAGGGTTACTTATCATATAGCTTCATACACAGAAGCCTTGATGAGTTTTACATTAAACGTGGTTGCAGGACAGAGACTTAAGTTCTTCTTGCCTTGATGGCTCTCACTTTCACATACAAAAACTGAATCAACTGTCAGTCTTTGTCAGCTGCCAGACTCGCTTCTCCCCATGAGCCTACAGGTAAACAGGAAGGAGTTTCAGTCTCACAACCTCAAAGTATGAAAAAAATATTGAATCAGACATCCTAAATACTAATGAGATTTGGTTTGCTTCCTAGGTTGTTATTTTTTTAACAACAATCTTCTTTCAGTTCAAATATAACAGGTTAGAAATAAAACTTTTTTCTACTTTTTGATCCTTAGGGCCACAAATATTTCAAATTCTAAAACTTTTACTCACTACCATTTTAAAAGAACTTTTCAACTCTAAAATTGGGGAAAGGAGCTTTCACAACAAAAAAGATCAGCATTTATTCTGGTAAAAAAATATGAAATTTGTCAGTCCTGGATTACTGTATGATAGAATGAGTATAAGCAGTAATTAATTCTGCTGTGCAATATACTATGGTGTATTGTAACATAACATAATGAAAATTAAGTTATTTAATAATTCATTATTATTATTATTATTTATTACGAGGTAATCAGTTTGATAGGACTCATTTGGCCATGTTAAAATTTCCTCAAAAAGCAATTACATGCTAAGAGAGCATCACTCTGAAGACTGACCATGTCTTTCAGAATTATTATGAGCAATGCTGTGAATTTCTATAGATTTGGGTGAAGTTATAGCCCTCTGTAAGTCCACAGTCAGCTTCTTACTGAGCTCAGTAAGGTCAGGACTTAATCTTGTGAGTCCTCCCTGGAGCTATCTCAAGCAGTTAGTGAATATTTGGGTTCCTGCTGCTGGTAAGAATCTGCACCTTGACTGTATTCTCCTGGGAGACAGTGCCATGACTTCTGTGTGAGACATTTTAGACTACTCCAGTAATAAAAGGTTTGGTTTTTGTTTGGGTATTTTTTTAAAGTGATGTTAGAAAGGTCCTCATTGCAGAGATCTTCTTCTAGGGTGAATCTGCAGTGACCTCGAGGGTTACCTGAACATGGCTCTGGCTCCTGGTGTCCAGAGGAAGCAGATGTGGAAGGGGATCTGATTTGCACCAGGCCTTGAGGGTTCCCCAGCCTCAGGACATACTAACTCCTTGCACAAAAATAAAGAAAAAATATATGGCCTTGGGGAGCTGCACTAAGGCTAAATATGGTCATTTATTAACAGGAGTGCTATTCCCAGAGGAGCAAACACCAGCTTCTCTTCTGCAGCTGAGGAGGTTAAATACAGGACCTGCTTTGATCCCTCAGATGGACCCATCCTGGCAGTCAACCTGAAGAGAGGGAGGCCTGACCCTCGGAGAGCATGGCATATCAGCTGTGACGTGAAAACAAGCAAGCAAGTTAGGCAGACTCACGGCACTCTTCCTAAAGAGTTCTTCGTCTTGGCTTGAGGTGTATTGGGAGGCAGAGAGCTTGCACAGGTGGTGGTGGTGGAGGGGTCTGTAAGCACAGCGATACAGGAGTTGGAACAGGGTGGTAGAGGGTGGGCAACCCCAAGGAAGTCCTGTGCTTTAGGAGTGAGGAGACAGAAAGGTAAATCTGTATGGAAAGAAGGAGGAGGTGGGAGTGCTAGAGAAGTGAGGAAAGGTAGCAGGAGCAAGTGAGGCTGAGAGAACAAGTCCCAGAACAGTATAAGGGTCTGATGATGTCCATCCTGTACCAGAGCAGAGGGGAAGGAAAGGAGAAGAGTATTCTGGGAGGCTTCTGTTTCCCTCTCATCCAGCACCAGGAGGGCCTGGGCAGGTCTCCAAGGCTCAGACACTTGGTCCATGCTAGGCAGGCAATTTCACCATGGCATGAAATGTCCCATAGGAACTTGAGCTTTGCAGAGGGATAGAGGAAAGGCAGGCAACCGGCGAAGAGAAAGAAGAGACCCCTGCCTCACAGCCAACCTGATATCTCCAAGCTCCATAACACCCACTCACCTCCAGAGCTCAGAATTGAGTTGTGATGCCAGCAGTGACAAGGACAGAATACATTACTTCGCCTCTCATCGTCCAGGTGACAAAACTCACTTTTGCCCATGCTGTTGAGCTGGCTGTGTTATGATGCCATTACACACCTGATGGACCTCCAGGCCTCAGTTATGACTGATTGTCCACTTCAGGGCTACCACACCACCACCTGTGGAGCCCTCCAGAAAGAAAACATTCATTTTAACTCTCCAGGAAATAAGCAGACAATCTTAGCCAATTATTCCTAAAGTTAGATTCAATGTCTAGATAGCCTAGGCCCGTGAAGGGGTGGTATGGTGAGAGACAAAACCTGACTAACAGTTGTTCCTTGCACAAGGAGGTGTGACCTGCTTCCTTGTCCAACGCCATGGCCTTCATAGCTGATAGCTACTCATCCCCAAAACTGCCGGTTCATGTAATTCTGCCCAACAGAAAATGAAAGGAAAAAACTCAAAGCCAAAAAGACTCATTTCAGTGTTTTTAAACTGACATGTTTTCATTTCAGCATAGGAAGTTTCTGTCATAGGAAGTGAGTGCTGCCTGATTCAATGGCAACAGTAGTAGCACACGGTATGGGTCCTTGCTTTGCTTGTGAAAGGCCTTTCATTTCCCGGAGCAGCACTTCAGTCACTGGACTGCAGCATAGTTTGGGGTCAGGATCCCTCCAACTAGATCTGTCCTATCACACCCAGGGAAACTTCACATTTTTTACATGGAGGTGAATGTCCTGGCTACATTGCAGAACTGTTTCAAGACTTTGAGATTCTCAACATCTCCCTCCAAACACACTCACACACTTCCCTTGATGTTTATGCAAAACTGGAGGTATTCTCCAAATGAAACTCCTACCATGCATTTTTCTTGCAGTCCAAGCAAGTTCCTCTTCTGTGTGGAGCCAAAGTGGGAACAGCTGAGTGAGATGTCATTGC